GGCGAGGAGGTAGCCAGAAATGGGGTTGCAACGCACCCCGCTGCGGCTGGTACTACAGCCAGCCCCACGCTCACCGAAGCTTCCTTTGCTGCACGCTTTACCTCTGAACGTACTTGTGGAACGTTTGTAAGCGCTTACACGCAACGTGCCAACACCAGGTGAAAGCGTCTGCGCTAACTCATGCTACAAAATGTCAGAGCAGTCACAGTCCTCGTTGGATCCCACACGAAGTCCACAGCAGAAATTTGAAAACCATATCGACCCCCCTGTGCTACTCAGACAAATTAATTCTGCACCGAATGCACTGCGGATGCCGGTTTATATAGTGAGAGTAGATAGAGTTATTATCTGAGTTTTAGGAGTTGAAGGCCCCCAACTACGGACCGGTGGGGCATGCATGCAGAGCAGCGCTGGCTGTGCCGGTGCGACACCCCACGATGGCTGTCGGGCTGGAAAGGAGATGTGTCGGCTGATAGAAACGACATCGCTCTTAAATGCAGATTTTATCGGGTCTCCCCTAGTGCAGTTCGCCTCAAGCTCAGCGAAAATGGCAATTGGCAAGAACAAACGCATGAGCAAGGGCAAGAAGGGGGGGAAGAAGAAAGTTGGGGACCCTTTCCTGAAGAAGGAGTGGTATAATCTGAGAGCTCCATCACTCTTCCAGCAGCGTAACTTCGGCAAGACCCTAGTAACTAAATCTGCTGGAACAAGTACGGGTTGCATGTGAACTCGTCTTTGCGCACTCCGCAGTCACCGATGAACTGGGCGGGCGGGGCCGTCAGTCCAGGGTCTAAGAGGTCTTACTTCATTCCCAGCGTTTCATTTTTTGAATGCCTTTCCAATTGGGCGAGTTGTATACTCTCTTGCGGGATGCGTCTAATGGTGACAAACGTGTTTCTCGATGATTTTACGGCGCCCCGCCCACTTATCATCCGTGCTGCCTTGCGGTGTTACCCTTGATGGCCCGTTCTTTAGTGTTACTTCACGCTTTAATAATCGCATTTGTGGCTTTGGGGACGTTTTGTATGCAGAGCTTGCTGCGGATTCTCTCCGCGGACGCGTGTACGAAGTGAACCTGGCGGACCTCAACCTTGATGAAGATCAGGGCTTCAGGAAAATTAAACTGCAATGCGAAGAGATTCAGGGTCGCAGCTGCCTTACAGACTTCCACGGCATGAATATTACAAGGGATAAGCTATGCTCTCTGATTAGAAAGTGGCACTCGCTGATCGAGGCTTTCGTAGATGTTCAGACGGTTGATGGGTACACTTTGCGCATGTTCTGCATTGCATTCACTGAACGCCGGTGAGAGCTTAGCACTGAGGGCCATATGAACGTTCAGCGGCTTTCTATGTAGTGGTTCTGATGTCCTAGATACCTCATTTGTGAGTTTGGGGAGTTTGTAATTGTGATTGCAGACTAAATCAGATCAAGAGCACATGCTACGCTAGAACTTCGCAAATCCGCGCCATTCGCAAGAAGATGGTGAGCATCATGGCTGCCGAAGCATCTAAGTGCCAGCTTCGCGATCTGGTGAAGAAGTTTATTCCCGAATCAATCGGCAAGAGCATTGAGGCAGCATGCAGGAGCATATTCCCCCTGCAGAACGTACTCATCAGGAAGGTGAAGGTTATCAAGAAGCCAAAGTTTGATCGTAAGTGCAGTGTTTCTACATTATTGAGCCTGCCCGTCCATCACTCATCCCACGTTAAGTGCAGACAGGAAGTTTTGCAGATGGATCGATGTCTGAACCGCGCTGCGTTGTTGTGCAGTAACGAAGCTCATGGAGCTACATGGCGAAGTTGGAGAGGATGTCGGCAAGGAGGTTGTGACAGAGTCTGCTGCCGCACAGAATACCTTGACTGCCGAGGTCAAGGCATAATTGAGCGCTTTGCGCACATTGCCAGTGCTGTCTGTAGCTGAGGCCTCCTCGGTAGTTGACGGCAAGCGGCCGCTGCTTTTGAGGCCTTTATAGGGGGAGGCTGGGCCAACAGACTTAACCACTGAAGGCGCTTCTTACTGTGTCATAACATCAGTAGATCGCCGTGTTCATTACACTGTAGGGAATAACCATTTAACACTCCTAGTTCGGGTGCTTGCCACTTTAAGCGGAGCAATTTCATCTAGACTGATACCGTAGTGCGAGCTCACAGCGTTCACGTATGAGGTAGTGACCGGAACACGGAAGCAATGTAGGCAGTTAGAGCACGTCAGATGCCTAGAATAGGCAACGTGCCGACGGGATTTCTCTAATGCTGAGTTGGCCCTGACGAGATAGGCTTTCATCTGGATCCAATCCCCCGTTAACAAGGGTAGACATGCCCGGCGCATGGTATGCCTTGCTTCTAAGCATGGGCATCAGCAGGAATAGTAGGATTAGGGTGACTGTCGCAGGTTTGTGGTTTCAAACTGTATTAGCTAGTCCGTGGTAGTAGGTGGACTAGAGAGGTGCAGAAGTTGGTGGGACCCACTGATGTGGAGCAGGCTTTCTTCTGGACGGAAGGGAAACTCACCTTTTCCATATTTACGCCACGTAAGAATAAGGGTAACAGTTTTACTCTGTTGAGCCTATGCGAAAGACAGCTGAGAGGTCCTCTGGCCCCTTGCAGCTGGGCGATGATTCTGGCAACATACATTCTCTAATGCCGCTTCCACGGTGGCGGCGCTGAAGTTCATATGGGGTTGCACACACTTTTGCAAGCGTGCTGGACTTCCGAAACTACTGATCTTATACACTTGCACGGCTGTGCAGCCACCTTGCGAGGGGCTCCGCTTTTCCTCACCGCCGAGCATTATTCTGGGGACGTTCCGCTTCCGCTGCAGCTCCAGGTAAGTGCGTTATAGTAGTCTCGCCTCCCTACCATGAGGTGGGTGTGGGTTGGCAAACGCGAGGTGGGAGTGGAAACTCAGCTGAGAATTGGCAGCAATTAGCTATTTCCAACGCCTGTTACAATACCGGTGCTGAAGCTGTTTTCTGGGAAGGATATGCGGGGGTGGAAGCATATACAGTGGTTGCTCAAGGTACGCGGAATCTGCAACTTACCAACATCTGAGCTCGCATACTAAGAAAACGCTGCAGTTTCCCCTAGGGAATATATCTGCTCTAAGCGCCATTCCGTTGCCTGCGGATGAGATCTGCTACACAGCAAGATCAGAGTATGCATCTCCCTCGTCGTCTCTTTGGAGACTAGACTGACCCTCACACGGAGTGAAGCTGGTAAAGCGCGCCGTTTCTTAGCCAAGAGGATTAAACGCATGCGCTGTGTGCAGTGGCGTACTAGAGCCTAAACAGTGCCCAGAGTCAGCGTCGCCAGCATCTAGGTCGTCTCAACATTGATGCTGCTCACATTTCCCCTGTTACTTTTTTATAAGAGTGAACGGGCTGATGATTGATAGGAGCTCTATATTCGAGATCGCAAAGCTGCACGTCCTGGTGCAATCCGCACACTGGTCGACTAACGGCATGATTGGCTAAGAGGGGCACGTTCCGCCTGAAGAACACACTTTAGACTGTGCTGCGTACAGTAACAGATGAGCTTACACTAGTTGAAAGGCCAGGGAATAAAGGACAAAGCAATCGAGAATGGGCCTCCTTCCTCTCGGACGATCCGCTTTGTCTGCGACGAGGAAGTTAACTGTTCAACGCTGCGTCTTTTTTGTGCTTTGTTCCTCTAAGTAAAGCATAACTGCGTGTGTTTTGAGTTTCTAGATGACCCGATCCCACATGAATGAACCGGTGGCGATGCCTCGCCCAGGTCCCCCCTCTCCCCCGCCCTCCCCGCTGCCCTCCCTCCCCTCGCTACTGGCCGTGCGCCCGCCAATGGCAGCTCATTGGCTCACCGTCCTTTACATGCGGGTTGTAGTTTGCTGTTTTTTCTTACCACTTACTGTAGGCCTTTTTTGCTCGCGGAACAGGACGCTTGCCACTAGAAAGGCAATTTCGTTCTGCAACAGCCCGCTTGCAGCCAGCCTGCTCCGTTACTTCGCTTCCTCGCGGCTCTGTCGGCCACAGGCTCTACCCCCAATCATTTGTACTTTGCCATGCTATAAAAACGTGCCAAGGGCATATATCATGGAGGACCATTGCACCTTTCTACCCAGCTGGCGAGACACCGCAGCGCAACCGGCAGCATGCACATAGTAGGGAGGCTCATACACTGTTGCGCCCAACGTCTGACGACCCCACGCTGTCCGTGCATCTCTGTTTGCTGTAGTATATTTCAGCAGCCCTGCTATCTCACGCGCTGAAAGCTGCTTCGCGTCGACTTAGCAGCCTCTCTTCCCCTGGCCTCTCCGACTCCACGCAAGCTAGGACCCAGGTGCCATTTTCACGATTTAACGGCACGTTGTGTTCAAGGAACACATCAGTGGCGTGTATTATTTGATTAGTGCCGCGATAACGGCGTACATATCGCGGTGTGCTCTATTACTTCGAAACAGATCCGGGCGGAGTTGGAGGTCCTGTCCAGGAGCAGCTACAGATATTCATGAGAGCTTCGTAGGGACTGACGGAGTTAAGCATCACTGGAATATCTTGCAGCTGCATGGGTAGCGCCTTCTGCCACCATGCCGACTGCAGGCGCAAGCTCATGACCTGCTTCTTGCTGGTCTCTTGAAGACGCTCGATAGGTGCTCATTTCTCCCCCTTTTCCCTCCTGCTTCCTGTTTGCCTCCGCGCCAAGTCGTTGTGGCACTCCTCCCTTTTTTGACGCTGAGTAATTCGCTTGTGGCCTCAGCCGTAGGGGGTTCCTCGTCCATGCGGGTTCAGCTCAACGCGCACATCTTCAGCTAAACAGCGAAACCTGTCTCTGGCAAGAGCTAAAATGAGCGCTCCGCCTCTACAAGATCCCCCTTTGGTCGGCGTGCCAGCTCATACGGGGACTCAGAGCGGAGCAGTTCCTTTTCCCAAGCGCAGTATGCATCTCCTTTCGCAGAGTCGTCTCATTACCGATGGCACAGCCCACCACTTCATTCTTTGTTCCCCCGCAGAGGCGGTGGACATGGCTGCGGTCCAGCGCCAGTGTTCTGTATCCACGCCAAAGGGCGCAGAAGGGGTTACTCTGTATCATGCACCGTATGCGGGCGGGGCGGGGCGCCGGGTAATTGCAGTTTCCGTCCCCATTTCGCTTGCGGCCTCTTCCGTCCTAGCAATGGAACTCCTAAAGAAACGCCTGTTCGCGTGGGAAGACGACCTCAATGCTGCCTTCGGAGCCATGGACGAGGACGAGGACCCAACCGGTTCAGGCGATGCAACGACAGGAAGACAACAGGCAGCAGCAGCAGCTGGTACTACTACGGCTGCCAGCGTCTCCGCAAGTCAGCCAGTGGGTCCCCAGCAGGTAGCTCCCGCTTCTAGCAACGCGGTGGATGCCGCAGCGGGTGCAGTGGCTGGTGGGGCTCCTATACGACCGCATCCAGGGCCTAGCACCGTGCCACCCGCTCAAGGCGTAGGAGGTGCCCCCAGTCAGCCAAACTCTGGAGGTCAGCGGCCGACCTTATTCAACCTCCTTGAGGCATTGGCGAGTGACAGTGTAACAACGCCGGACCAGCGAAACTCGATCCGTGGCATTGTTACAGATTTCCTAAATCACGATCTCCCCCATTCAAAAGTATACAGTTTCATTGGGGCTGTTGTTGGCCACGATGTGCTCCATACGATTGTAAGAAAGCTGGAGAACGAACCGGGAAGACTTGGAGTGCCAGACGCGGGGGGTCTGGCGAGAATAGAGAAAGCCTTTGGGCTCAGCAAGACGACAAACCAGCAACCAACTCACAGCCCTCAACCCTCAGGTATGGATGTTTTGCCCGACTTCGTTGCCTTTGCAGTTGCCGGAGTAGTGGGTACTAGGGCCTGTTTAGGCGGCGTTCCTTCGGTTCCGCCTCTTCATCGCGGCGCCTTCAAGTGTCGCAGTGTCGCTTCTCTCGTTTCAGCGTTTGGCGCCGGTATGCTTGTGTTTGGGTTGAACAGGGAGTGCCAGCAGCACGACTCCCCATGGTGTTGTAGCAGGAGGGGCTCGATCGGCAGTAGGGGTTCCGCAGGACCAGCAGCAGGCGGCCGGTGGCGCTTTTGATGGTGGGGCTGCAGGCCCAGGCCTCTCGAATAGAGATGCCATTCTTAGGGTTATCAGGCGCAACCTTGACTCAAGGCGGATGCCTCCGCAAAGCACGAAGGATGGTAAGTAGCTTCTCTCCGGACGAGCAGTAACTGCTTTAATTGTGTATAGGGAATTAGCAGCCGTAACGGTAAGAGCAGTAGTACCAACGTTAGTGGCACAGGGGAGAATGCAATGATTAATGTACGTCGCCATTTCTCTGTGTGGGTACAGAGTCCGAGTGCTGTTCTGTATGTATCACTACTGTTGCAGTGTTCGAGAAGGTTCGTTGGCTGCCAGTGCGGCGCCCCTTGACTCCCGTCCCCGTGTTCGGGCACACGCTGATATCCTTCAGCAACAAGGCTATATTCTTTGGGGGGACGAACGAAAGAGGCGAAGGCGTAAGCTTTCGCAGCGCCTGCGTTATAAATCTCAATTTCTTCTCATCCCGCATATTTGTTTTCTGCGGAGAATATCCATCCGAAAGAGACGGTCATAGCACAAACGGTCTTACCTTGCAGCACAGCCCGGGCGTGATTCTTTTCGGAGGTCTGTCGGGCAATCACTTTTGCAATGATGTCTACATTCTGGAGCTGGACTTCAAGAGGTGAGGAGAGGAGGTATACAGAATTGCTACGATGTGGAGCAGGCTGAAAGACTTGTCTAGCGGCACTTTCAAACCAAACAGAACGCCTACCATCGTTTCTATGTTTTGTCATAGATTGCGAAGTCCAGCAGCTTTAATGAGCCTTGTATCCTACACAGGATTCCCCAAAGGGACTCGTGCCGAGTATGCTGCCGTTGCATGTACACAGATGGGTGCGGAAGCATCCAGCGGGGCTGCCCCCTGCACCGCGCGATCAGCATGCGGCCTCAGTTTTCCCCGCCAAGACGGAGACTGGGAATTGGCGGGATAGCAGCTCAGACAACCTATCGGAGTTTCTCTTTGTTTTCGGAGGGCGGACAGGGTAAGCACCATGGGTGACAGACAAGAGCGGCATATATCAGCGCAGTGAGAAGACACACTTCAGATATATAGGAGACCTTCACCACCAGTGGAAGCGTTGCTGTAGTGCCCCTTAGTGCATGTAGCTCTATACTTGCTTCCTTTGACCTTGTGCACAGTAACCCAAGCGTGTCATTCCATTGCTTGAACGACATGTGGGCTCTGCACATTACGAGCAACACATGGACGGAAGTTCGTGTCGGGGATACGAAACCGCCTCCTCGATACGGGTTTTCCATGATATGGTCGGAAGATCTTCACCTGAGTTTGTTCGGAGGAGAGACGCACGGCGCCAATGGGAGGGTTTCCTGCCGGGAGCGAGTGCTGCTTGAGGACTTCTGGCATTTCAAGATTAAGGATATAGTGAATGAGGCACACTCTGGGCCAGTAGTCGTAGGAGAGTGGCAGCAAGAGATCTACGAGGGGAAAATAGGCCCACGCTCCCATTATGCAGCGATCTTCATCACCCAACGCTACCAGGAGCCCGTAAGTTGTACCGGCGACATTTCTTGTCCCCTTTGCCTCGGGGAGGCACAGGGTAGAAGTCCACGGTTGTGCATGTCCCGTGTGGGTCCATTGCTTCTTTTTGAACAGCGTGGTACTTCTGTTCCTTGGTTTGCAGAGGGCGGAGCCACGGACAATCGAACGGCTCATGCTGATAACTAGTGGCGTCACAACAGTTATGGAGGGTGGCCGGGCCCGCGCCACGGAGACAGATCAGATCAGTGTCTATTTCTTTTCTAAAAAGCAGTGGTACACTGTCAAGCCCCGATATCCTGCGGACTATGTCGGAGAGCCTTTTGGTGCAAGACAGCGCCATGTCGCCTGCTTTTTCGAGACGCACAATCCTCTCGCCAGACCCACCCGCCCTCCCGTTCCGTGTTTGTTCATCCACGGCGGGTTCCGGCGTCATCAGGTGGGCGCTGGTGATGGCATGCCGTATTCCACGTAGAATCTGTAGTTGTGGGACAGCTCATTGCCTCTGCGCATCGCGAACGATACCACATAACGTCTGCTGCCTTCTGCTCAGGTGCTCGGAGACGCTTGGGTGTTGTCTCTTACGGGTGACGATCCCTACAAGGGGCTAATGGCGCAGGGAGGGCCAGGCGCAGTTTCTTGCCCAGTTGGGGGAGAGTCGCTCCATTCGCATCTCATGGGGCACGGCATAAACTCAATGCGAATGACACCTTCATGGTATCAACGGGACACCCACACGCCGGGCATCCTTTGGGCACTCTGCAGCCAGCAAAGGTGGCTAATGGGGGCTATCGCACAGCTGATAGACAACGCCATGCACCCGTCTGTAGGCTGCCGCAACGTTTGGATCAAGTTCGAAGAGACCCCCGACAAAGATCCCATGCTCTCTGTGCAAGACGACGGGCAGGGTCTTGACTACCCGGCAATGAATAAGCTTTTGCGCCTCTATGGCAGCTTCGAGCCGGGAGAGCGTCGCCGGAGTATGTCCTCGTGTCGCCTGTTTCCGATGACATTTCATTGCTTCAGGTCTTAGCATACAGCGTTGTGTTCTCGCATGTGTTCTAAATGGCTTTTCATGGGAGTAGCTGCAATCTTGTTTGGGTGCGCGCGCCTGCAGAGGGATACGAGTACGGCTGTGGCTTCAAGATGGCCTACGGCCGTATTGCCTCGAGCTGCGCCATAATGTCGAGGACACAAGGGACTATTGGCATAGGCATGCTATCTTTGGAACTGATGGGTCACTGTGACGCCCGGGAAATTGCAGCGCCTGTGGGTCCCATTTAAGTCTCCCCGTTTCTTGCCAACCTTCCACTCCTCAGTTTCTCAGCACGCGGCCGAGTTAGTATTCGGATTAGTTTGGGGTAGTCATGTAAGGACAGCTGTGACACTGTGCTGTGCATGCAGATGTGCATGTGGCGTTTGCCGAACAAGGAGCTAATCAATAGGGACCCCAACAACATGGCAGATCACCGGCACCACCAGCGCTTGCTGATGACGTAGGACAAATGCCATTGGTTTAGAATTAGTCTGTGCTTACAGTTGTTGGGAGCAATTTTAGAAATCATAGCATTTCTTCGGAAATGATGTGCCGTTGTCCAATTTTAGGAATGACGGTTCCAGTTTATTGACTAGAGTAGGTCCTGTGTGGAGGCGACCCTAGGAAGTGGTCTGCTGCGTACTACTTGTGGTGTGTTGATCTCAGTTACACTCCTTTCACAACCCCATCGCTTTTGGCAGAGCAGATAAACGTGCTGGGTACAATGCCGGGGTCTCGCATGGTGTTTTGGGATCTTCGAGACGACCTGGATTCCTTGGTGGTGGATTCGCGAGATAACATGATGTACTTGTCGTCGGCTCCGGGTATCCGTTTGCCAGGTCAGGGGAGATTTGGAAGCTCTACCGCATCAAGGAGCGGTGAGCCTGGGGGATGTTCGTCAGAAGTCAAGATGGCGGATCAAACGAGTCCGGCTACTGGGGCAAGTACGACGGAAGCCAAACCCGCGGAGACCCAGGGGGTGCCAAATGGATTGGCGTCTGAAGGTTCGGGAAATGGCAACGATGAAAAGCCACAATCAATTCGTGACCCTTGCCGACCACCCGTTGATGAAGCTGCTGCAGCGAATGCCCAAGTGGGACCGGACATGCTGGATGTGGACGAAGATGGGAAACCGCTGAACACTCCAGGGCAGGCTGGCTCTAGTCCAGCAGGAGATGGAAATTCAGGAGAGGGCGTGAAATCGGAACAGCCAGCTGAAGGGGTGGCGGAGCGTGCTACCTCGGCAGATGTCCAAGGAGAACAGGCCAAGGGCCAGAGGGCTCTACCTCCCCATTTCCCTCTTTGGACAACTGCGAGGCATTCACCGGACTACTGCTTGGCTACTTACTTATTTTGGCTTAACTTACATGCACCGGCCACCATACACGTCCAAGGCATACCTCTTTCACCCCAGCCGCTGAGCTATGGTGGGCGGCAACGGGAGTCACGAGAAACGAAGGGTGCATCTGAGGTTGCTGAGAGTAATGCTGAATCACACATCAGTAAGGAGCAGCAAGAGGCGGCAGAGTTACAAGCAGAGGCAGCGAGTGGTCTAATTGCGTCAATATCCCGCCCTCAGACAGCCTTGGCAGAGAAACGGTCTGCCGACGGGGACCTCATGGCAGACGGCAGCCCCTTGTCGCCTTCGTTATACCTCTTCTTAAAGCAGCGCCTTTATGCCCCGGTAATTTGCCATCCTGCAATGGGGGGACACTGCAGCCTGCGTTCTGACTGGAAGTACTCTACGCATGCATTTGCAGCTGACGAATCGACTCTTTCCAGCTCGTATTTTGGGTGTGCTCTTATGGTGTGGTTGTGTGTGCCTGAACAGGTAGAACTTTCGTACCTTTTTACTCCGGCAGATCACGATGCTGGCTGCTTCGCGCTGATGGGTTTTTTGAACGACCCAACGGGCGAGTCATCTCAGCCCAGGGTTTGTGAGGCAGGGGTATTGCTCTACTTCAAGCAGCGCCTCATTCGCAAGCTGGAGTGCACTTTTCCAGACGCGCCGAAGTATATTGAGGCGTCGCGATACCCGCGTAAGTTTCTTTGAGTGACGTCTACGTCACCTGAGCGTGCGCAGCTGAGATTCTAGACGGTGTGCATTGTGATGATTACGTGCTGCTTAGTGTGCTCTTCGTTTTTGTCTTTGTGGGATCTTAGCGAGTGAACGACTCTTCGGGCAAGATGGGGAGCCCCCTCAAATATGCCGATATGCCTTTACCGCGGTGATAAATGTCCCGGAGTGGATGTTGCCTTCTTTGAACAAGCAGGAATTCCTTCACGAGAACAACAAGCCGTACCTCAAGTTTAAGGCGAGATGTATGCCGAACCAGCCATGTGAAGCTTCCCGCCCGCGGCTCAGCTGATCATCGTTAGTTTTTATATCCAGCGCTGCAGCCCATGTGGATTGTGGTGAGAATGTATGCCGTTCATTTGCTGCTTGCAGGCCTAAAACTGATGCAGGATTATCTTTCTCGTTGCAGGAATCCGCAGGCACTGAATGCGTGGATCGAACAGAGGTGAGCAAGTGTTGGTTTCCCTTTCCGCGTTCGGCTTGTACAGCCCTATAGAAATCGTAAGGGTTCCTATTCAAATATGGCGAATGATTGTGCAAATGGGTTTTCCTCAGAACAAAACGACTAAGCGAGTACCAAGATATGCAGAGGCGGAACAGACCGAAACGCCGCCTCAATGAAGACCTAACAGATGAGGAGCAGCCTCGCCGTAGCCCAACTCCGCCGTTGACGCACTCTAGCTCAGGGTACGCGTTGACGCTCTGCACGTTCAGTGTATTCTTTGACAGCAGCAATACCAGGGCAGCCTGCGTAGCGCTTTGCCATCGCAGTTGTTTTGTGTTCTTTCTTTTTGCAGGGCTCCTATTTGGACGGGACAGCGAGGCAGCAATGCAGGATCTGCGGAGGATGCTCCAGCCGCAGCGAAACAAGTACAGGAGTCAGGTGGAACTGAAGATGCGGCGACGTATCCGAATGACGGGGATGTTGCAGCTGAAGACGCGATGGGTGCAACAGCTCCTGTCAAGAAAGGTGAGCTGGGCGCCGATGATATGGCTCAGGATGGAACAGGAGCACCTGCAAGTGTACCCGTTGCCAGTTACACTGAGTCTGAAGAGAAGGAAACAAAGGAGGAAGGTGGCGGCGATCTCTCTGAAGAAGCAACAGTTGGGAACAAGGCGGAGGAACCCTGGACCCAGGAAGTTGCTCCAGCAAGCGATGCTCCAGCGACGGAATGAAGGAATTTCTGTTTCGTTGTTCTCTAGCGCACGTACAGCGGCCATGGGGGAGCATCCTCCTCATGCTAGCAAAGCAGACATTTCCAGGGATGATGCATAGGAAACCGTAATGCTTGGCCGGCACACCCACTATCACCCGCAGCAAGGCCGCGTTCAGAAATACGTCTTGGGCGGCGGGCTGGTAAAAGGCTGCGCTGGTAGTTGACAGCAGTGCAGAAGTTCAGCCTGACGACCTCATGTTGAATATTTAGGCTGCGCTCTCAAGGCCCAGGCCAGATGATTGAAGGTCCCCAGCAGGGACAGGAATGCAATGTTTATTGGCGTCTATGGCTGTTTGTGCACTAAATAGTACGACGGAGTCCGCAGACATGGGCCAGCGTCGTCATAGTGGGACATTGTTGCATAGTCATGTTCCCTTAGCTTGAGGACGACGGTGGGCCGTTCGATTCACGCATGGTAGAGGGAGACAAGAGTGGCCTTTATCTCGTCACACCGCTACTCGGTGGGACGAGTTTAATTAGATGCGGCTCAGTCCAAACGCTGAGAAACGTTAGTACCCGTTCGTCTGTACACTGGAGCCGAGCGGAACGGTTGCCGCTACCGTTCCACCCTGCTATTCAAAGATTCTGTTTTGGTCAAGCTCAACGAATTATAAAGCACGCGAAAGTACCGGAGTTTCAAATACAATCGCGACCCCTCGAAATGTTTCGTACAACTTGCACCGTTTTGCTCGTGGCACTCGCGACGTTTCAAGTACCGCTGGTTGCTGGAGCAATCGATGCGATATTCTTCATAAGTGTTGCGTCTGAGCATCAAATACCCCTCAGCGAGTGCCATATTTCTTTCTGGACACTCGGTGACTCTACACAGACTTGTAGGGAGGGCTGCTCAGCTGTGGGCGGCGCACGCATTGGACTGAATACCTTCGAAACCAGTACGTAGTTCGATTGGTGTTTGTGCACGATGGAGTCTTGAATGCTTCTGAAGATTTCAGCAGCACGCGATATGCCCTAACGTACCTCTTGACACTCCAGTGCCCGCACGCAAGTGTAACCGTCGAATCGTGTCCTGTGATTGAATACCCGTTATTTCTGCCCCACGGCCCGCTCGTCGTCTTAAAACCGTCTGACGCGCCTGTTAACCTTGGCAGGCTTATTGTGGGACCCCGTCGGTGAGCACCGTGTTCTTACGAAAATGACCAATTAGTGAGCAAAGTAGTGACTGGCGTATACTCTCAGGACGCCGGCACGTGAAGAACAACGGAATTCTACGTCCGCTGAAACTGCATGGGAGCAAAAGATTCGCACACTGACTTGCCCCCTTCTACGCAGTTTTACCCCTACAAACCAATGGGCCCTTGTTGCATACACCGGGTGGATTATCCTTATAGGATTGGCGTGGATTGCCAAGACAAGTTACACTGAAGCTGCGCTGAAGTTGGCGCGGAACATATAGGTGATCCGCCGTACAGATGTCCATGCATGGCGTGGCGCATTCACCGGAAAATAAAGTCATAATATTTCCTGGGCAACGACGTGCTCAACAGTGTAGATGGAAGAAGGAATACAATCCTTCCTACCTGTAGTAAACACACCATACCCAGACAACAATCAAAGTGACTGGCGGCAGGGCAATCTCCACCCAGTCTTGGGTCCACTGAAAGCATAGGTTGTGCTTAGCTCACACGTAAAAACTGCGACAACTCCCCATTCGACAGGCGCTGCCCCGGCCGAGTGACGCCTGCGCACGACACGGCACGCAGGAAGCCCAATATAAATCTGGATGCTTCTGCTGTTACCAGTAGAATTCTGTTACCTCACGCATCAATCCACCGAAAAGAAGCCTGCTTCCTCTGACCGGTTTCAGTTTCTTAGGTGGTTTTGATTTATTCCCCGACTGTTTTACACTCTACACTTAACCTACTAGAAAGCACCTGCACCAGAAACAGCAAGCTGTTGGGGACGCATGTGTGAGATACCGTTTTTCAATTTCTTCAGCAGCTGCTGGGACAAGCTGCATTTCGAACACTCGATCGCTGCCGCAATGCGGGCAAGGAGGAACGGATGCTGCTTTCCCTTTAGGAGGTGATATGAACAGGGGCTTCCCTCCAAAGCTGTACCGGATTGCCTGCTTAGGGCTCCTGGAAAGTCGTTTTTGCAGCTTGAGAAAAACCTAGTACCAGCGCGACACACATCGCCCAAAGTAAACTCACCCCAGAACTTCGTTTCCAGATCTCGTAAATACTAGGGTGCGTTGATAGGCATGAGGACAAGAGTTTAAAAAATACACTAAAGGCATACTTTGTCAGGGCTTTCTTCATATTCTTCCCCCTCGGCGATACTGTTCCTGCACGTATAGCACATGCACTGGATTCGGTTGCGCATCATCGAGCACGGTGCTCACCAAAGTAGGCCCTATTCCCAACGTGATAGTATCCATTCAGCAAACGGTAACTGTGTTAGACGTACTGATTGCCTTCTGCCTCCTCCGCTGTACCCTGCGCTTCGCTGAGCCACACGCCCGAGCCAGTCGATTTGACAGGGGTAAAAGACTATCCCTAGGCATACTATGCAGCCATATTGCTCGAGTTAAGGAGGGCTTACCGCTGTTCGTACTCGAGCTGTAACTGACGTGCCCGCACTCCTGCACATAAAACTCGGCGATGGCTAATTAGTAATGTTGTAAAATCTGGGTCCGCTAGGTGCATTCGGTTGCATGAATGCGCATTAGGAAGGTAGCGATTGCTTTGGGAGTATGGATGTCCGCAGTTCTATAGTTTGTAAGGAACGATGGAGGCCAGAATGCCGCACTGGTATACCAACAGCAGCTGGTCCATACTGGAGTTGTATCATTTCGTGCAGGCCCCACCTGTCGCGTCGAACTGAGAGTTGTCTGGGGGTTCATCCTCAATACGGACGAAAAATGCCGGCATCAGTTCATTCGCCGTTTGTGGCGTTTCAGTGCATCCTGGTTTTTGTGAAGACGCTGCTTCTGGTTCGCAGGTCTTCCCACTCTGCCGGCAGCCGTTGTCACTGCACGAACTAGCAGAGGCCGTGTAGCCGAACGCCGCTTGGAGCCAGTCAGATGAATCCGGTGAGGAAAGTGCGTCATTCCCTTGTGACCGGTGCTCAGGTAAATTATCGCGGAGTTTCTTTTCAACTTTGGCGGATGCAGGCGCTTCGACAACGCCTCTCACAACCATCCAGCCGTCAGCTGTCTTGCCGCATGTCGTTTGCTTGTGGCACCCGAAAAGATAAAGACAACGTTTATTTGCACAGTATGGCGTTGCTCTGTAGATATTGCACAGAAAAAAGTGCGCGCGCTTGTTTTACAGTTTCGGCGAAGCAACACTGGAAGGTTAAGCAGAAGAGCTTGGAGTAGCTGGCGACCGTTCTCTCTCCAACGGGTAGAAAAGGCTTACATTTGGCAAACAAAGTCAAGCTCCGCACCGCAGTGGGAGCAGATGAAGGGGAAACTCTCCGGAACATTGCCATCGATCCAAACCTGCACGAAGGCGATGTCAACCAGCTTTCGGCTTTCAGTATGTCTACTACCCTATTCAGGCACGTCCCTGAACAACTGTGTCCTGTGCGCTTCATAACTCCAGAAACAGCAGATCTTAGGCGTACCGGCTGGCCCCCAAATTTGCTTAGGGCTTCTGCCGCTGTCTTGTCGCCGTCAGGAACTAGGTCGCCGAGGAACCCGATGAACACAGGCGCTTCACCTGACATATTACGGTTCCCAGCTATTTCATCGCAACCTTGCACAACTCCGCAGGCGCTGCCTGAGAAACAGAAGTTTCCAGTTGTGCAACAGAAGTTGGTGATTACAACAAAAGCCCCCTAAGCTACCTCAGTTACAGGTAAAACGAGCGAGCAATACCACAGCGTTATACGCAACTGCACCGCAAAAGGAGCAAACTTGCGATGCTACAGCAAGTCAAATAATACCATTTAACCATTTATTTACTATGTGGATTCGTCCTAGAGATATGTGACCTTGCTACTAACGTATATTTAGGGACAAAGCCCCGCTAAGGTCGCGGCAGCCCTACCACACTGAGGACGAACAAGCGCTCTTGCTGTGGCCCGCATATTAAACCTAAAGGTGCGTGAAACTCTTTTTGTAGGAAGTTGAAACACACCGGATATATAAATATACCTTTTACGTGGTGGCGGTTTGCCGATTGCCAAGCCCATCAACGGAACCCATCGGGCACACTAGGCAGCGGCGTCGCCGCCAAGCGGACTCCAGAGTTTCCCAACCCCTGTGGTTTCACATAGATTACCCGGTAAATTTTACAGCTCTAAGCTTACCACGAAGCAACTAGTTTTTCTCGTTGGCTCACCAACGAGCTGCTCAGCAACACCCCGCTGCTCGCGAAGCACGGTTTTTGGACAGTTGGATGGTTAACCGAGTAGAACGGAGTATAACTCTTAGCCGAGTGCAGTTATTATTGATTTTGGCAGCCAAAATTTTGCGCTGCCATGGTTCATGGCGCAGCCGGACAGACAACCGGATTCTGAGTGGTCGTTCGCCAGCGGTGGCCACCGCCGTCAGTTGAGGTGGCGATACCTGCAGAGCCAAGCGCTGCATTCAAGCCGAACACCGACAATGTCATATATGGGGTTGAAAAGTTAGTGACAGACAGCAATAAACGGCTTTCCCAGTGTGCTCATCTGCCTTAGCAGCTCTGAACTGTGCCATTCTCTGCAGGGAGTGGATGACATGTGAAGTGTAGTTTTGTATTTACCCCGGACACGGCGAAAATGGCGATGGTAAGCAAATGTGGCAGGCGGAAGGCATTGTTATGTGTTCTATATTTTCCCCAAATTAGCAGGAGACGCACGCAACGCCATGCGGGGGCGGGGCATTATCTCGCAGACGCGATTTTGTCTATAGGGGACTGTGTACTGTTGCTCCAATCCATGAGGAGCCTTTCCTTCCCACTGCCTTACATCTGCTGGCACATTGAATGATGTCTGTGGTTTTCTGCAGGATGACAAAGAGGCCCTTGCCCAAATCCAGCAAATGGTGAAGTTCATTTTGAACGAAGCCAAAGACAAAGCTCAGGAAATAGAGGCACGTGCATTGGAGGATTTTAACATTGAGAAGCTAAAGATTGTTCAGCAGATGAAGGACAAGATTCGTCAGGAGTTTGACAAAAAGGCGAAGAAGCTTGAAGTGCAGCGTTCTATGTAGGTGCCATGCTAGACAGGCGTTGAAGTAGCAAACCTGTGCCTTGTCCGGGCTCTGGTGTGAATTCGTTCATTTTAAAGGAACTGTGTGTGCTGCTTTAGCGACCGATCGACGGCCATTAACAAGGCACGCCTTCGCCGAATTGCTGCCCAAGAACAAGTGGTGAACGAAGTTTATGCGCAGTCACAGAAGCAGCTGGCAGCCATCTGTTCCGACAGTGCCCGGTACAAGGAGCTCCTTGTGGATCTCATTGTGCAGGTGAGAACTGAGCATATCTATTCATACAATTCCTGTGAAGCTTTTCGGCTTCTAGAGATATTACTGTGGACCTGGAAGCGATGAGTTTTGCGAATTTAGGGTTTGCTGCGCCTCTTGGAAGCTGAAGTAATCATCAGGTGTCGCGAAATGGACCGGCAAGTCGTTGAAAGCATTCTTCCGGCTGCTGCAGCAAAGTACAGCAAAATCCTCAACGATGAAGCGGGTCTGAAGAAAACGGTTAAACTTTCCATTGACAAGTTGGGGCGGTACCTCCCACCCCCTCCTTCTGGTGATAGCTCTGTGCCTTCCTGGTAAATTAAATGCACACGGGATTTGTATGTATGCTCGTCGTGGCTCATAGACACAGCAGGACCGACTGCGACGTTGGCACTACTAGGGGGGTTGGGCGCAAGGGTTGAATTGAGTTTTGTTAAGCTGCTGCCTGTGATGCGCTTGTTCAGCTGTGGCGGCGTCATATTGCTGAGTGCAGATGGAAGAATATCGTGTGACAATACTCTAGATGCGCGTTTGAGGATGGTAGTTACGGAGTGCTCACCGGCCATTCGTATGCACCTATTTACAACTCCGATAAAGCACTGAACATCAGAGGGAAAATGCTTGGGCAATTTTCGTGCACTTAACCCTTTTAACCGGCCAAATTTGTGTGAAGCCCGGGCTTCGAAGGCTGTTCACGTTCCTACCCCCGTGCTACTATGCAGAAGTGGGCGTAGCCGGACCGCACATTCTGTAAGCTTTTCCTGAGCTTAACTGGGCGTAGGGCGGTGCATACGTAGGGGAGTTGCAGGTGATGCGCTTGTGAGGCGCTGTTTCGCTCAATTATTTGGGGCTATGCTATCCCAGCTGAAAAAATACAAACTGAGCACTGCGCAAGAGACTCCTTAACGCCGTCAGCTTCCACTGCAGTATGTCCTGCACGGGGAAGGAAATCACTTCATGTCCAGTGGGCGTGTACCGTGCGGCCCAACGAGAAACAGCAGTGGCGGCAAATTTTGCATTTCGTGTGACTCCACAACTTCGCCGTAAAGGTGCAGGCGTTTTCTCTGCTTGACACGGTTATGTTTAGTGTTAACTCGCCAGTCTCCAGGAATCATGAATGTAGAGCAGATCCCGGAGTTTGGAAAGCCAAAATCTGGCATCTGCTCTGCATCCATGATTGATGCACTGCCGTCAGAGTCTCATAAAACAAATTGGCGAGCTTTAGGTGCCCTTCGATCGGGTAACAGCTCGAACCCACTCGAGGTAGTCCTGCACAGAAGTATGCACAAGGGAAGCATAACCAAAGACCTAACATCAGTACTGTCGAACTACTCGTGAATATTGGGAAGGAGTCACTGCACAGGACGCAGTTGCGGAAGGTAGCTGGACCGCGGAACTTTCTGCCTACTGGGTTGCCGTCCACGACGTCAGTGAAGACCACCTGGTACCCACACACAAAGACGAAGCACATCAATATCAGATGCTAGGGCGTTGCGTATACTAACTGCACTTTCGAAGGTAAAATATTCTACTGAATGACAACGGGAATAACACCGTAGTCCCACCCACCTCCGGGATCTCATACGAATGTTTGTCCTTTATTGCTTGCACCACTGCTTGAGTGTACGTCCGCTGCGTCTTGATGATAAGCAACACCTCAGAACTTTTCTGCGTCGTCACACACCAAAAAAATATGTGCCTTCAATCACAAACATCGACACCTGGCACTTCAAATGGCGACTGCAACAACTGTACTTTGCTGGTGACAACGCCTATGAAGGATGATAGACAGAACGTGCCTCTAGTGTCCCCTTCCACTCATAAACACTTTCGATTGCAGGTACGATTTGTACGCATGCGGCGAGGCGCTCCGTGACGAGGTGCTGTGCGATCTGCACACAAAAAGGAGAATGACACGCTTCGCACTGAGAGATAGTAAGTGCCATGGCGCTAATTTATCAGGCAAATTACTATGCAATACCGTGCATGTGCGTTACGTGTGCACGGATTGCCCCTAGCATGCTAGGCGGAGGCTGCATTCCGTCTATGAAGCGTCTATCTTTAATATACAAAGAAGAGAGAACAGGGACGGACTAGGGGACGCGGACTTCACGACCGACGTGGCTTACAGCTCGTGCTTCTTCATTGCTGGATGCCGTCGAATAGCCAACGACGAGACCTGCAGCATTCGCCTCCGGAACGCGTTGAGGGGTCTTGGTTTCCATCTGCGAGGCACGTGAGCAGTCATGACCTGGGTAAGCTGGTGAAATAAAATGCGTAAACGCTCTCTGCCTCGAGTGCACACTATGAATGAACGTATTCGTGTTGTATCGGGGTGTGTACAACGGCAAGGAAGCTGAAAACTGGCCGAAACGGCAGCTGCCAGCTGAACATGCACGTCGCACGACCGCCATTTAGACAGCTCTCAAGCTCTAAAGCACTTTATGTCATGAAAAACTGTTGTTGCAAGGACATTACTGCACGCTGATTTCGCCCACATGAATGGCGTTGGAGCTCAAAAGATCAGGAATGCACCGCAGGAAAAGAACTAAGAATGCCGCAACGGCGCATGATACCCCAAACATCGCGAATTACGTCAAAATCATTACTTAAAATGCCAGAACACAACCATTTGTGAACACTACTCAAATTTTGCCACCGCCTGCATGCAGCCCTGAACCATTGCTCGCCAGTGTCTTCCATGTGGCTTGCAACATTCTGTCGGTTACAGGTCGAATAGTCTTTTGCAGAACGCATCAACTATTAATACATAGTCACTGTGCACCGAGACGAGTTGAGGCACAGCCAGTCTCCTCATGTGCAGTCCACTCTATCGAAGATTCGGAACGCTGTATAGTTGGTTGCCACCAATAAGCCAACTAAGCGTTTGCGTATTGAGTTTTGCACAGCATAAATGAACTACTCTTCCTGATTTTCCCGATATACAGCATTTCAACAACTAATCAGACATGTGAGCATTCACATGGTCGTGTACCTGCCTGCACTCCCAACAGAATACGCATCGTCTTCGCCAAAAAGAACTGGAACCCAGGCCTCAAGAGGGAGGAGACGGGGAGGCACTAATTCAACGAAGAGGGGACACCCGAAACGACGGGGAAATGTATGCATTTGGCCTCCAGAAGGACGGAACCCCACTGGATGCCCAATGCACGGTAACGAACTCTGTGCAGGCGTAGCCTGCAGTTTTGCTCTGAGGCACAAGCACACCCGAATCATGAAGAGGAAACGGAGTGGCAAAAAAACGAAACGCTGGGGAGAGGTAAACTCGGACCGTCAACTAGCCCGTTTGAAGACAATTCAGTGTTGGGGAAGCAAAATGATAGGTGGCACATGCATTTCAAGCGCTTTAACCAAACGCAGTAACGTAAAAGTTTCCAATGAACAGGGTCGACTAACTGCTTAACGTGCGTGTGGTATTCAACAGCCCAACTGCCCAATACATTCAGACAACAGACCCAAGACTGCGTCACATACAATGCAAGCTAGATTAAAGCAGTACACGCTTCGAGCTCGTGAATACATCTGTCAAGTTAACGTACGTAATCGTTAAGAGCGAGAAATCGCGATTGCTTGGGCCGAATGGGTACATACATGGGCAGCCTTGTGTTCAGCAGGAATGTGCAAGAGCGTCTGCAGCGCCTGCGGCGTGCCCTACAACTGTAATTTGATAATCAGTGGTTCGTAAGGACAGGAAGTGCTCGATGTGCATGCGTACGGAACAAGTGCAGTATTTGTCATGCAGCCGAATTGCCCAACGTTGGTCCATTTTCTCTCATGTACTGGGTCGATTTAGAGTACAATATGGCACGCTTCGCCTAATTATCCACCGGTTTCCCTGCTCTTCACCGAAACATCGTTGTCTGACCCGTCTTTTGACCCAGTTGTTGGTACGTAAACCTGGATTATCGCAGCTAGACGCTTCTCGCCACCGCTTGTAACAGCGCGGGAGTGCATGACGAATGCAAAAAGACTCGGGGAAAGAAAATACGACAAACGAATTTGGTGGGTCACTTTCGACCATCGAGACTTGGATTTAGTGGACTTGCGCTCTTTGCGAACCTCACAGGATGGCGAGCTGGGAGCCACGTCTGCCACCGTTGGAGGAATATCTGTGCGCTTTGCTCTCTGGTCAACGCGTTCGCCCACTTCATCGATTTACACACAACTTTATGATGTCACTATACCACTGCAGTAGGTTTTTTAAAACGGTCAATCGAATCAAAGAAGATTCCTCGATATCTCCCAAAAAAACGGAGTTTGATACCCTGAACGCACGACTAACGGGACGAACGGGAACATAATACGATAATACTATGTTATGTGATCACGAGAACGGCGTGCCGGGCCGGTTTACGAGGATCGCATGGGCGAAACAATATATTTGCCTTTCTCGATTCAGCATTACCAACTACAAAGGTGGGCATGCAGGTTGCGGCGTAAAATTTGGCCTCATACGGACCGTTACGAGTAATTGAGGCGTTGCGTCTGTAGGGGGGCTCACGCTTTTATATCTGCTTGTTCTACCGTCCCAAAAGCTTTCCTTTGTGATAAAGACCCTTCTTCTACCTATAGTTCGCTCGTTGAAGCTGCTGACAATAGCGTTATTTTTGCATTTTGTGTGGCTTGTCCCATCCCCCTACTCCTTTGTGGCCTGCCGAACATCACCGACTCCCACGATATTTATTGCGTTGGCTCGTTCGTCGTTTTTAAGTTGGGGTGCCCATATGGAAAAGTGGTCCCCAATCCAGCTGCAAGGAGCACAGCGCCCTACATGACCAGTGGCCAAGTCACTAATATCAAGCTGGCCACAGCTAGATGCAGATTTTTAGCAGCGCCATCACAAATGAGCAGTATGAGCAGATGTCCCTTGTCTCCCTTGCCTTGACATATTTCTTTCTCGTTCTTGTCTTCTAGTCCCCTCTCCCGAGGTTCTTCCCTTGCTGGGGTGCACCCAATCCCTGTTCGTTAACTAGGCATTTCCTTCCGTGCCATGTGTGGGGAGAGAACGGGGATTATAGGTAGTTTGTTGTTTCTCTACCTGGCTTATTGCCTTCCTTAGCAGTCCACAACAATAACTACCGTAGGCACTGCCATCAACAGCGCACGGCTACAGCGGAATCGTATTGCTCCAGCACTACAACACGTTAGTTGTATAACGTTCGTTATAGAGCAAATGTCGTCTATTGGAGAGAACACTCGGTATTGAATATTCTCGTTACATTACCGCACGGCACCCCCCAGCAGGGAAAATCCGCGAGGATGGCGCAGACGACAAGCAGACTCTGCAGCATGCAGGCTCCTCGGACTAACCCGCGGGGCACGCTAGGGAGGTCCAACGGCTAACCAGGACAGCAACGCCAGACCTTTGTTTCTCAAATATTTTGAACATCGTTTTCTCTGTGAATTGTTGATTGTATTCTATATCGGTACTACTAGATCGCGTTCTTCCGTACATTGGGTTATATAAGGTACTAATGGATTGCGGTATCTATCCGTTAGCACTGTCCCACGTTTATTGCAATAAGCATTAAGACAATAGGAGTAGACAAACTGATATGTTTTTCAGATGAATAATATACATATATATCCTAAACTGCCTCCTCTCCAGTAATCTCCTGTTTAACCCCAGGAAAATACAGGAATGCTACACCAGGGCTCCGTGAAACTGCGTGCGCGTAAATAAAGGCGCGAGAACCACGTTATTTCCCTAAAGTCTGCTCGGAAATGCTCGGGAAAATGGTTTTGTGACTCAAGCATGTAATATTTAACACTTTGGACGTAAACGAAGCCAAAGCCACTGGACCGGAACAACGGGAGCCCGACACCATCGTGGTCTGCAGGCCCCGATCTATAGGCAGAGGGCAGGCAAGATAAGCGTGTTGCAACTTTTCCCCGAACTTAGCTTATAGTTAGCTCTTGAATAACACCAATTGACTCTGTTTTGAAGTGAGTGAGGCGTTTCAGCTCCCCGTGGCCGCACTGGGGTGGGTGGAGCCGACCGGTGACCAGTCATACATGTTTAAATTGAATCGCATTCCGCAACCTGTGAATTGTCATTGAAACGCCACTTCGACCTTCTAAATTGCTTTTTGTCAACCAGGTTTCTTGTTATTTCGTCTCATGAAAGCGGGATGCGCAAGAACTCTGCGTTCACATGCTTTGGGAAGCAAAGCCGTTCACCCTGAACAGGCTTCTCGCGAGAGGGTGCCGCTTCGAAGGACCCACTGGTTGTGGCAGTGAAAATTGTCACTGGCTCAGTAGTACTTAAGGGGGACCGCATGCATGAGCCGGAATAATCTTCACATAGGATGCTGCAGCCCGGGGGTTCCAGAAGTTGCCGGGTCTTCCCAAGGACATTTGTGTCCCACTGCGGCAGATTTTGCCCATTTATCGTCTGTGTATTCACATTCCTGCCCTTTGCATTGCCTCAGGAGCACATAGAGCCCGTCAGTAGTGTAGGCGACCCTCATGTCGTCTCATCAGGTCAACCTGTGGAACCGGCCATTGCAGCTGTCCCTCTTGCCTTCTCCCCCGAACTTGATACTGAGATGCCAGACGATCGTCCTCAAGTTCTTCTCCTGTCCCCTCCGTTCGCGGATAACGCTGTCCAAGGGACTGAACCAACTTCCGCGTCACCTTCAACCACGGACAATGCCGGTGGCGATTTGCCTTCGAACACAGTGTTGCGTGGACCAGTCTCACCGACTTCAGCTCCCCAAGAATCGGTGACTCCCCCGCATCAACTGAATCAGTACAGTTCTATCCCACAGTTTGCTCCTATGACGGTTACCATTGTTGTTGGAGCCGGAGAGACTGTGAGGGACTGCACTGAGGAGCTTCCATCCCAGAGTTTCCTGATGAGCGTCGCCAGACGTTTTCAGCAGCTCCAGCTCCTGCCCCTGCTCGCAGCCTTTGGTCAACAGAGCTTGAAGGTGGTGACTAACCGCGTGCACTCTTCTACTCCGTTGGTTCCTCCTGCTCCTCGTCTTCTGCAGGCAGATTCCCTCTTGCTGTTCCGCGAAACTTCGACGAAAGAAAGGACACAACAAACGATGCTAGTAGAAGTAGCGTCGCGAACACCCATGCTCCCGCAGTTCGTCTGGCAACGGGGCCTGGGTTTCAAGGCTCGAAGTGCAGCGGTACAACCCAATATCGCTCTGTGGTCTAACCAGTTGTTTGCCCCTTCTCGGCAGCCCCGCCTGATGGAGAGGGCCGGCTCAAAAAACCAGCCCGTCTTCGTGCCACAGCACGTTCAGCCAAATGTCCTAGAAGGACTTCAGGAGAAACCTCACTCAAATGAGTCGCAAGGGACAACTCCTCAACTTGGAGGTTCCTTTTTGGGAAGTATTCTGCAAGCTCTTGAAGGTTCTCCCATTCGAGTTAATTTAGGAGATATGGCATGCGCCGCACTTCCTACATCTGCTTTGAACCGGAAGCTCTCCTGCTGGCTTCTGGGAGCATTCACTGAGCGTATTCTTTGCCGTACCGCCTGGTTTGACCCTTGTCAGGCCATAAGCGAAGAAACGGCCCATGGGAAGCCGCCCTTGTCTCCAGTAGTGTTGCCACCAGGGGGGCCGGAGACCCTCTCCCTTCCAATGAAGCGTTTACTGCATCCAACTAGAGGAATCCCCAAGAAGATCCCAAAAGATGTCATTAAGGAGGAAGGGCCTGCTTACCAGCTGTTGTGGCAAGCACTCACCCGTCTAGATGACATCTGGGCGCTCGCTTACTGCGGCCGCGAGCTGCCACCCGGGAATCCTGGAGCGGCAACTGCAACGGGGCAGCCACCTGGAGGTGAGGAGCGGCAGCGACACCTACAGCAACAAACCCAGCAGCAGCCGAAACCCGATACGGCACACCGAGAAGGCGAGGAAGATAACGAACGCGATAAGGGGAAAATGCAAACAGAACTACCACCGCCCTTTTCACTGTGGGAAGGCGCATCTCTTCCTGGTTTAAGAGGGACTCCACCGCTTTCTTTGTGGAATTTAGGGTCCACAGCAAAGCCTACATCTGCTGCTTCAGCATCTACTGAGGAAGCAGAAGAGGGTGCGCCAGCAGAAGTCCCAGAGGCGCGAACGGGATCATTCGCGTCCACCTTAGGGCAACCGCAAAGTCCCCCTTCTCATTCCTCCGGAGACAATGAAACAGCAACAGGACCAAGAAACACATCAACAGGCCCCTCAGCACGCCCTTCACCCTCAGTCAGTGAGGCAAAACCCACGCGGGCGCGTGACTTTTCTCAAGTGTTACCTGACGGAGCGCCGCATCTACAAGGTCAGGACCTCCTGCCCGGCTGGCGGACGGAGTTAGTCTTGAAGGCTCTTTCTCCTGGAGTGGGAAATAGGACAAATGTCTTGGCTGTTGCTGGGAGGAGAGGGACCGACGTGCTGATTGCGTTTAGGGGCACCAAGACACAAGTCGAGTGGATTTTGAATGGCCAGGCAGAGCATGCGTTCAACTGGTTGGGAGAGGGGGAAGGACGGACAGCTGCTGGCTTCTCACACATCTTCAGTGCCGCCTGGCCAGCGCTACAGGTTTATCTTGCCTCAGTAGATAGGCCTGAGGCACCTTTGAATCGGATCATTATAACGGGGTACTCTCTGGGAGGCGCAGTGGCAGCCCTTATGGCCTATGGCATAGCCTTGAATTATCCTAAGAAAGTTGATGCAGTTATATTTGGAGCACCACGTACTGGAGACAGTGCATTCACGGCTGCCTGGGCTAAGAGAGTCAACGGGCGCAACATCGCTTTCACTTTGGACCCCATCCCCAGAACGCCGTGCAAAGAGATGCCCGCATGCGACAAGCCAGGCACGAGGGGCCCTCTGACCCTTCCCCAAAACTTCCTTCGGTTAGCAACATTCGCCCCCAGAAGGAATGGAGCTAGCGGGAGGACTGAAAGCACCAGCACAACGAACGGCTACGGGGACTTCCATGGCCTTGTCTCATTCGGACCTGATGAGCTTGGGGGATCGACACGCAACAGAATTAGTCCCGTTTACGTTAGTTACAACCACATCTGCTCCTACCCATGTTGGCTAGCCACAAATTTCAACCCTGGAGAGCGCCGTACACTCTGCCAATTGCCCGATTTCTCCAATCAGTGGGATCCTGCGCTCTCACCAGACACCTGCCCTGCTCTTCTGTCGTGATCGTTTTGCCGCATCGAGCTGCACATGTACCACCTTGCCTGTGGCACTGACAAGTATATTTAGGTGTTGCTGTAGGTCTAGAATCATTCAAGAGGGGCATCGTGATGCACCGCGCTGCGTGGACGAACTGTGCGAAGATGAATTTGCCATTGAGTGCACTCCTCACGAATGATTCTTGTGCACTCGGCGGTCAAGATGTGAGTTACGCTTTCTGCTGAAGCAGCGAATACGTGCTTCTTTTAGTCCCCTGCTGCTTAGGAGTAAAGAAGAGTAACAAGCCTGTTGAATTTCAGCACTTCGAGCGTTGGCAGGTGGCGAAACACTTCGTCACCCGGGTGGCGCGCAGAGGCAGGCACCCAAGTTACGAGGGAACTGCGTTCTTTGGTACATGCAATATGTTTTTGGCATCTCATAAGGACAAATGCGCAAAGCATGAACCTTCTCTGAACTTGCAATGCCTCAATCGTTTCTTGAGACTTTGTTGCTAGTTCCGTATTTTGTGACTAATAGAGGAGCAGACCGTCACCCCGCCTTCTGGAGGAGACTCCTGCACGCTGTCTGGTCTGCCCGGCTACAGGAAACCAGCCAGAGGCACCTCGCGCCTCTATTGTGAACCCAAAGCAAGCCCGAAAACCGCCACGCCAGTAGCAGCGATACCGTAGCGCTTGTTGCAATATTCCCCAAGGTAATAAACTTAACGTCAGGGCCACGGCTGGGCAGCAAAGGCTGATGGCGCTTTGCTAGCAATGAGACCCTAGATTGCACTAAGAATGCCGTATGTGTGAAGATTCGTCCCATATGGATGCCTCGGAAGAGCAGATCGTTCTAAGGCGATCTAGCTGGGCGACTTATGCTTCAGTTGCCGTCGCGCTTAACTTCGGTAGTCAATACCTATTGCAGACAGTCCAGTGATTGCCTGAGCCTCTGAACCCCGTTTTACTCGGCACACTCAGTTCCTGCAGTTGCGTTGCAGGTGCTTAGGAGAGTCTTCCTAGCCAGCCTCCACAGAAGTGAAATGACGGAAGAGTAAGCACTGTATATTGCTTCTTTTAGTGCAGAGAGAGTTAGACCCGTCAAGCTTTCCCGAGCATAATTGCTTGCCGAACACTGTTTTTGTGCTTTAGTGGCCAATGCGGTAGCGTCCAAGCCACAGCATCGCCTCGCGCAGCACCGCTTTGATTCATTTGCTCTTAAAAGAAGGCCGAAGTTTACTTTCAAGTGCCCCATGTGCGCCGTTTAGATGTTTCGCTCCCATACCAGGAGACTGGCGGTTGTTTTTTCTATGTAGACAAATGCATACGCGCGTTTGGCACCATAGCTTACCTAGTTATAATCTTAAGAAATATTTATTGCGCAAAGAGGCGGCGTTTTTGCAGATATTGCGCTTGAGTGCATTCCATGGTGTATCTGTGCGCTGTGGGAGCCTCAGCCCACCATCAGGAAGAGACAACCTCATCGTCGCTGCATTTATGCGGGGTCTCTCTAAGAAAGTCCCAGAACAAGCTCTCTAGCAACGTCCGTCTATTTCGTCTCCGGGTGTGGGCAGCCTTCCCTCCTCAGTCCCAGAGAAGAAAAAGGATAATTTACGCCCGGCGGCTCAGTGTCGAGTTTTCACTTAACGAAATAATTTTGATTTCCTGTTGAAGAGCTGTTCAACAGCGTAGTCAGACTGCGCCAGACTAGCAGTGCGCTGGTTGTGACTGGCCTAGCACCCCAGCAACTACGGAAGTCAAACATGGTCGGTCATTCGAATGCACGTGTATGTGGATGGCGCTCGATACTAGGACAGGAGGGGTGCAATACCCGCGTCCTCCAGAAGGGCTGTCCACCGTTCTAGCTCTTTAGCCTCTGTAGATCCCCACAAAGCGAAGGCTGTGAAACCATCGCCCTCCGGATGTGCGGTTGCAGCATGATCAAGCCGCCAGTCTTCTACAGCGCTGGTATAGCCACCTGCACGCAAGACATATAACCGAGCACCACAGGGCGCCATATGGAATGCCATGGTTGACTTGACCTTGCCGAGTACAACAACAGCATCCATACAAGAGCGCCTTATCCACCCACATTCATCGCATGCGGAGTACAGACACTCCACGAGTCCCTGGTCAGAGAAGGCCTTTATGCACCCTTCGGACGAAAGCGTTTGCTTCTCTGAATCCCTGCAATGCGCATACCGAGACAGTGTCCAGGCTTCACAATACTATCCAGCTTCAAAGGAAAGAATAAACTCGTCATTTGCTGAGTAAGAGGCAAGGCTGTGCAGCAACTAAAACGACTGACAAACAGGTTGTCTTACCACAAGGCCTCAAGACGAGTCAAAAGAGCGCTTCGCAGGCCATTACATGCTTGTTGCCCGTCAGCGCACATATCGTCAAGCGCCGAAAGACACTTTACCTCTACAGCCTCTACCGCAAGCAACATAGAGCCGCGTGCAAGCGCTTCGCTTAGGTCAATCTGCGTTTGCAACACACGCGACAAAGAAGGCAGAGCCAAACTGATCGGTTAGGCAGGGACGGGCTCCAGATTGTCGCAGCTCACAACAGCGCTGACGGATGCGGCACGGGTTCCTGAATCGTCACGAGCCGTCGATTGCGCGGGCCCCGCAGAGATTACTTAACGAAGCTCTTGTTAACTCCCTTCCCCTTAAACTGCAGCCATATCTCTAAAAGCAAGGAAATGACGACTAGGCCAAAGGGAAATGTTGTGGTTCTGATGCAGCAGCCTTACTGTAAGGGACAACTGAAGCACTGGCAACTCGTCCTTGTTGGGTGCTAGAAATGTCTTAAAAATTAAATGAGGCAGTGACGCTTCCTCTCCTCGGTCATCAACTGACAGGTCGCAACGCAATGGCAGGAAACAACATACCCCAGTCTACCCCACGCGAATGCAGGATAAAGTTATCCCCGCTGCTTCTGCGGCAACTTCGACCATATGACCGAAGCAAGCGTACAGTCGACAGAAGTGACGCTCGTGAAGGCATGAAGGAGCAGGAGCAACTGGTCATGAAGCAGCGCGACCCTCCCAGCAGCTGCATGTGCATGTAGCAACAGGGCCCTGACAGTGGACAAATCCGGGAAGGGAGGAGCCCCAACAGCGCGCTGGCGCAATTCGGAGGCTTCTGCTGCGCTGCTACTGCTTCCAGTCTCAGTGGAAGACCGGCTAGTCATATCGTCACTGCCACTAAGCCCTCTCATGCCAAAGTTGGACAGATGAGATACAGGAGCGGCTCCTGCGGCGGGAGTGACGCAAAACGACTCCTGTACTGTTGGGGCTCCCGTACGCACGTCGTTTCCGCCACATCTTGGTCCTTGCTGAGGGAAGACAGAGAACGCCAACACAGCTCAACATCAGCCAGAAAAAACGGACACTCGGCTGTCTACACATAAGTAAGCGGGTCAAAAAGGGAAGCTCACCTGTAGCAATATCTGTTGCAGTGACCGCTGTACAGCTCCCAACAGATAATAACGTAACAGCTCTACGGTGAACATCCATCGTCTATGAGGTGGTAGGGCTTCGGAATTCGTTGTACCACCAGCGGTCCCCGAAGCAACAGTTGCTCCGACAGAGCGTAACACAGGGAAGCGAGACTGCAGCTTGCAACTCGTTATGGGCAAGAATCGAGGTTCTCCAGCTACAGCTGATGGCGGCTGCTGCTGATTCCATTGGGGCCCAACACCAACTGCACATGCTGCTGCAGCGTCTGCTGCAGCAGGAGCCGCAGCATCTGCTGAAGGTGCTGTATCCGCCCCATATGCTCTTCCTCGGCGAGAAGCCAGCAGTGGGGTGCATACAGTGGAGTCCGTAGGAAGGCCTCCTGGGGGAAGACACGGCCTCACGATCTGTACGCGCTGTCGAACCGGGGTAGCCGGTTCAGTTACAGTTGTTGCTCCAGCAGCAGCTGCTGCAGTTGTTGTTATGGCGACGCGCACAGGAGCCGGTTGCGTGTGGCGCTGCAGCTGCATTTGCTGCGTCTCTTCTTTACTCCACGAAATCGTGATTCTCGTTGATGCTGCGGGGTAGTCACCTGCTCCATAAAGGCGATTAAAAAGTTTGCTAGTGCTTGCACGCGGTAGCATTGCATCCTTAGCATAAGTATCCGCAGGTATTTGGAGAGCAACAGCAGCAGGAAGGGATCGCGGCCAAGCCAACTCGGCAACTAGCCCTGTTGTGCTGACTCGCTGTATGCGGACGCCACTAAGCCGTTCAAATGCCTTCACAATGCTCTCCTTGTGGCGAATATCCGCCAGCAGCTGCAACGTAGGTCGCAGAAAATGAATAGATGGCAACAAAACAAAGTTGGAGCATTCCCAAGGCAGCTGCAGTACCGGACACCAGAGCCGTCACTAGTTGACGCTGGAATCGGGCTGAACGAGAACGATGTCTCCGGTTAGGAATCCTAGCTCACCCGCAGGTCGTCACTGGTGTTGTCGAACCCTCTTATTTCAGCTTTCATGGCCGCTATTTCTTCCGCCAGCTGCGCAACGAACGGGGAAGAAGGAGGGTTTTCTGTTGCAGCAGCAACGCCAACGGCAAACGTCCTACACAGTGAATACAGTGGAGCCCCACAATCAATACCTTACCTGTGTCTCCTGTTCCAGCATACGGCCCAAAGAGGCCGCTGCAGTATCGACGTTGCTGGCGGCAGACTGCAGAGCAACGTGCCGCTCCTCCGCCAGAGCGCTGCGAACAAAGAAAGGCGCGCAGTGAAAATGAAAACATTCACGGCCTCAATTGGGATGTGTCGCCAAGCGGTCATTATGAAAGACCTGTGCTGACCTTCCCGGTTTGAAAAGCCGGGAAGATAACCACAGCAGCAGATATGCAAGAGCACAGGGTAGCCACAGGTAAGGGCTCAACGCCGCCATATCGGAAGCACTTCGAAAGTTGTGCAGTTTCGTTGGACAATGCCGGCGAGCAGAAGCAAGGCAGCAGAAGTGGGCGTTGCAGCAGCATCATTGTAACGAGGCAAAACAAAATACACAGACGACTTACACGAATCCCGACTCCCACGATTCCCTACTAAGACGAAGACGCTTTGCCTCCGCAGCTCTCTCAGCCCCGCTGGCTGCAGCTTCTAGAGCCTCCTCCAGTTGCTGCAGCCACAGTTAAGGAGCAAGCATGCAGTACGGAGTTCCCTTTCCTTGCTTGCTAGAGGTGGAAATCTTTTGCTGCTCCTCAGCAGGGACAGCAACGACTGCATACCTGTAAGTCCCGAGTCATCTGTTGAGCCAAAGGTTCAATCTGGTGGCGCAGTTGCTGTTGAAGCGACTCCTCTGTCCTCGCACAGAGCTCCCTCCACTCGCTCCGTGTCTTGGCTGGATGCATTAGTAGCTGTTCTGCTGCTGCCGAGGCGACTCCAAAGCCGCGCTTCATCAGCCGGTGCTTTAAAACCTGCTGCACATCCGAAAGCTCATCGTTTCCCTCGTGCATGCCGCCATTGTCAATGTCTTCGCGCTGCATTTCTACCTCGTGATGATCTTTTTCGCACAGCTGCAGCTGCACAAAACACCAAAGCGCATGCCTTGCGTAATCATCTTCAACAATTAGCAGTGCCCGGGGCAGCGGGTAAACTGTACACAAGAAAACCGAAGGAGGACCAGGTGGTTGCTGTCAGTTCCCGCAATAAACCTCCTACATTTATAGGAGTGCTGTAGCCCTCTCACTTCTCGCAGACGTTCCTCCCTGTAGTCAACCCACGATATACGCGGAATAGCAGGCTCTGTCTCTCCAGATAATTCAGCAGCACCTGTTTCCCTTGCCCCTGGTGCAGACTGCACCGCTAATATTGCTGCTTGTGGCTCCCTCGCTGCAAGCGGCGAGCCACCTTCCCCTTCAGCAATGACAGTGGGGGCCTTTGGTAGGCCCTGCAGCAGCCTATTCGCCAGCGCGTCTAACGCCCTCCATTGTGTGCGCCACGGAGGGTTCCTGCTGCTACTGTTGTCCTCTTTGGCGCCAGTCGTCGTCACGCTGCCCAAGAGCACGCTGCTGCTGCTGCTGTGGCTGTCTGAGCCTCCTAAGTCTGCACTCCGAGAATCTGAGTTCCTGCATGGATGTTTGGAGGGCGATTCCTGAGAATCTGGCGCTTCATTTGGTGCGCTGCTGCTGCAGCTGCCGGTAGTGGCAGCAATTGCCGCAGTCGATGCAGCAGCCCCAGGCAGTGCAGCATCGCCCTCCGCCTCTGCTGCATTATGCGATTCGCCAGGTGTTTGCACGCTTTCAGCCTCTTGCTGCTCCTGCTGGCGGCTATTGGGGCTGGCGGTGGACTTATCGAGTAGCTGCTGCCGCTCTTCGGCATCGACCTGCTGCTGCTCCTGTTGCTCCACCTGCTCCTGCTGCTCCAACTGCTGCTGCTGCTCCAACTGCTGCTGCTGCTCCAACTGCTGCTGCTGCTCCAACTGCTGCTGCTGCTCCAACTGCTGCTGCTGCTCCAACTGCTCCCGTTGCCCCAATTTCTCCCGGTGCTCCAACTGCTCCTGCTGCTGTGGCTCCGCCTGCGAATTTTCTTCCGTTGCTTGGGCGCCTTCCCTGCACAGGCTTGGTTCACGCGAGTCGCGGAAAGGTAAATCTTCCTCCTGTAGTTCCAGCTGGGCCTGCAGCTCTCCTTGCTGTTCCCGCTGTCGGTCATGTTGAACTGCTGCCTCCGCCTCAAGCTGATGCCTGACACTAAGAAGGAACGACATAGCAGATGTGCTCACAATCCGCGACCCCCCTCTACCCGACGGGACTGCCAGCCTGGGGGATAGCGGCGCGTCTCCACTTAGAGGGTCAGGGCCGGCGAATGGTGTTACTGGAGTTGAGGATGTCTCAGAAGCGTCAGGCGACTCAAGCTCCCCTTCATCGTGCACATTTTGTTGCTGCTGGTGCTGCGGTTGAACCAACTGTGGGCCACAATGTGCACTTTGACTAAGTGGGTTCGGATGGCCCCCGTCAGCATCCGTTTGGACTGCTGCGATTCCAGAAATGGCAGTAACGGCAGCTTCTGAGCCGTGCGCGTCCACGTTCGCCGTGTGGCTCGACGTTTCTTGGTGCACTACCTGGCCGGGCTCTGGCGTAACTCTGGTATACTCATCCGAGATGGGCACTGAACCTTGCCCGTGCTGCTGCTGTTGCTGCAGCGGCAGATGTCCCGCCGCTGCTGATTGTTCCCGACAAGCGCTTAGTTCCTCATTGACCGTCTGCTGAGGAGTCTTCTGACCTGCTGTTGCTGTCGAGGCGTCCACTACAGCACCGTCAGCAGCAGCTGGGAAGTCAGCAGTAGCAGCAACTGGAGAGGCACCGGCAAATGAATTACGGGCCCTTGCTGCTGCTGCTGCTGCGGCTGCTGCGCGTGCCTCAGGCCCAGAAGGCGGCCTGGCAGGGGCCTTCCGTAGAGGCGTCGGGTCTGAACACAAGGGCTCGCTAAGGGACGGAGCCACGAGGCAAGATGTCGACTGAAGCAACAATTCCGTTTCTCCTTCACTGCTCATCACCAACACACGAGTGGAAGAGCTGCAGTAGCTGACGTCTCCACCACTGGTCTTGACAGAATCAGTAGCACCATCGCCCCTTTCAGCTGTTGATGGCGCTCTTGGCGGATCAGCCTCACATGTTGCATTTCCCGCAGAGACTTGGGCTGTTGTCACTGACGGGGCATGCAAGACATGTGCAGCAGCATCTTCATTTGCTTCCGTTTCTAGGTCACCATCGGTTTCTGCTGCGGCGGCAGTGACAACCTCCGCCGCTGTTTCTGCTGCCGCATGTCCGGACCCATGCACTGGCAAGGGTACTTCTTCAGACTGTGCGTCAAGCACCCCGGCTGGTTCCGTTATTGGGGCTGAAGTCGGGTCAGATGTAGATTCCGCTAACGTAACGGCCTCCGTCATCAGCGGCGCTCGCGGCACCAGCTTTCCCGTTTGTATTGCCTCTGCTGTTGTTATTGCAACTGCGGCACCCTCCCCCTCTGACGCAGCTTCAGCCTCTAGATGTACGTTCCCAGTTGCCATATAACTTTGGGCGCTCTTTTGCCGCTGCTGATGTAGCTGTTGAGCCTCACCACCACCCCCATCAGGCTGTGACTGCTGCAGCAGCAGCGTTTCTTGCTGCAGTTGCTCGGAAGAGTCATTTGCCGAGCCCCTCCTGCGGTCTTCGGAGGCGCCGCTTGAATGTTCAGTGGAGGCGACAGACTTGGCCTGCTGCTCTTCTTGCTGTTCGAGGATAGGGACAGAATCTGAGCTCATTGCCGATGGAGGCTCGCCGCAGTCAGGCACACGCGCAGCCGCGCTTGTTTCGGCAGGCTTGAGCGCGGTTGCAGTAGAGCTGCAAGGGGTGGCTTCCCCACCCGCAGCCGCCCGTTGGTTGATCCACGGAGATGCTTCCCCCTCTACATCAGCAGCAAGACCATGGGTCTTAGCGACGGGCGTGAAGACAACACGACGAGCAGAAAGACTGTTCGCACTCCCTGAGGCCGAGGCAGCTCTCAAGATGCTCCTAACCGAACTGCCTCCTTTAATAGAACGCTCAAAAGTTGGGGTTGCTGCTGCAGCCGCAGCGGCTGTACTCACGGGCGTTGCCGCTGCTCTGGATGAAGCTGCTATTGCGCCTGTATGTTGGGGCCTCGGAGGTGTGCGGCCATCCGAGCGGTCCTGGCGCTGTTGCTGCCAGGAAGCTACGTGGAACCGCAGGGGGGTAGAGGGAGCAGAGGCAGAAACCGCAGCTGTTGTTTGTTGAGGGCGAATAGGGCTGCTGCTTTTCCTTGAGCGCTGCAGTTGTGGCTGCAGCTGTTGCAGGTGCTCACGTAGATTCTTGGCACTAAGAGGGGATGCGTTTCGCTTCGTGTTGCGCCGAGTCTCCTCTCTCAGTCTCAAATCCGAGATAGAGGATTCCAGAGAGCTACTTGTGCTGCACCATGACCTAACGTGTCTCTGCCACGCTGCATCAATGCGCTGTTCAGACATAGCGGCCGTCGCTTCATGCTGCTCTGGCCTCGGAGAGCTCCTGACAGGTGCCGCTTCGCGCGAGCCAGGAGAAGCCATCTCTTCCAGCAAAGGACTGGAACAACGCGATGACGCGAAACGCTCCACACTCGAAGCGGCAACTGAGGACCTCCCATTTTTCAGGGTAGTTTCTGACTCTTGTTGCTGCTGCTCCATTTGGTGCTGCACGGGATCTATGTTCTCGCTGGTGTCTGGGAAGGACTCTTTCGACGGACTGTTACGTTTGCTGTCCGACTCATCCGGAAGGCCCTTGTTGGTGATACGCAATGGCGATATTGAGGTTCCACTGTCGGCAGAAGATCCGTGCATGTGAGTCATAGACGCGGGGGTTGGCAGTGGCACGAGGGACGGGTAAAGGTCCACTGCCGGGCCTTCCTCTGCTTGTCTACTGATACAGGTGGTCCCCGCAAATGCCGACAAAGGAGAAAAACGACCTGGGGTCGGAGAGACTGTGTTGTTGTCCCTCTCTACGACGAGTAGGTCATGGACAGATGTAGCGGCATCGCCTCTCGGCCGCCCTCCTGCGCAAAGAATGGCGGGTGTAACTGCTGGCTGAGTTGCAGATAGCGGTTCCTCAGCAAATGGGGAATCCACCATCTTGATTGGAAGGAGAGGCCCCTGTAACAATAGGGGCCCCTCTCAGGCGCCTGAGACACAGCCGCCACCCAGCGAGAAGTGCCGAGCACTACAAAGCGCCCGGGATATCCAGCAAAGTAACGATTGCTCACTTCAGCAAAGTAATTAAGCCAAAATGCAAGAGGACTTTGCAAGAATTAGAGACAGACCCTGTTGGGAGTGAGGCACCGGCACCGCTGGGGCTCCCTGGTTGTAACGCCCCCGGGCTTCAGCAGGGGACCCGTTGGTTCCCAGGAAGAATTACGAAGAAAACATGTATTTTTGAAGAGGAGAATTAGGTACTCATTCTCTGGTACTGAGTTAATCCGTTCTATACTCAAGGAATAACTACCCACCGTAATTTCCCTGCGGTTCGACAGCGGGCCTCTCGGTTTGGCTGTGGAATCGGGGAGTAATACATATGGCTCTGATGGAAAGAATTCGGTTACTAATTCTCTGATAGTAAGATAACCCACTGTGTACGCAAGGACCAATTGCCTACGGGCCGACCGCCGTTCGGATCGTAGTGCTATACCTCGCCCGACGAACGGGAACAGAGTCCTGACACACTAGGCATAGAGATACAAATCAACAATAAACGTAGGCAGCTTTCTGCTTTCATCATTGGTATTTTTCTTATGTGTCTGAAAGTCGAAATGATGTGGCCATTGATGACCTTTGGAGGGTTCGGCGCAGCGCGGGACCTGATTTTTCGCCAGAGGTCGCCAGCGTGCCCTTTTGCTCTGGTTGCTGGCGCCGGAACCGGCTATGCAGAGATATACTTTCATCCTCTGTGAAGGAGTGCCCGTTGATCTAATCGACTAACAACTCGATACCTCGTAACTTATTGTTACTTGCTCATACTGACAGTTTATCTCTACTGAAACTTGTACGGCAACCGTAATGTAGTGCGCCGCATTGCAGCATTCCTCTCTCCAGCAAGCGCTTGCCAGAGTCGAACGCGTGGAGGGGCGGGCAGCTCCCCGGTAACAGCGGTAGCTGCGCAGTACGGCCGTCGGCGGAACGATTGTAACATTGGCTGCTGGCAGCTTGTGTAGCATGATCCGCCTGTAGTTAGCACAGGAGCCTTGAATTGGCCTTGGTAGGTTGCGTGTACGCAAATACAGATGTCCTATACGTGCGTTCAGAGGTAAAGCATGCAGTAATGGAAGCTTCGCTGAAGTTTCCTTGTCTGCACACGTGAGGCTGCCTTGCATTGCCAGCCGCAAGGAGGTACGCTGCATCCCCATTTCAGGCTGCCTCCTCCCTGCAGCACCCAGGCCCTCAGAAAAACGCCCAGGGTTTCTGGAGACAGGAAGAGCGGGTCAACTGCTTTGGGGAAACTATTGCCTGAAGCCTTTACCGACATTGCAGCTCGTTTCTGCCCTTGATTGAGGCCAGAGGGCAAGCGTTATAGTTAGCAGATGAACATTCCTTTGGCCTCAATAGGTTGCCTTTAAGCAAATACAAATGCTCAATAAGTGTATATAGAGGAAAAGAATGCAATAAAGGAAGCCTCATTGAAGGATCCTTGTGCTCACATGCGGGGCTGGCATGCATCGCCACCTGCAGCTCCGCAATCTCAGGCCCTTAGCTGAACACACAGGATGAGTGCAAACAGGGAAGCGATGTCAGCTGCTTTTCGAAAAATACTTAACGCGAGTCTTTGCTTTCATCGCAGCTTGCTTTAGTCGTGGTACTACAGCAATGAACATGAAGACCGGTCGAGCGAGAGTTCTAAGGTACGGATAGGTGCGCCTCAGGGTTACCCGGTTGGGCAAGTCGAGAAATCCGGTTATGACGTCAACGGTTGTGACGTCGACGCCAGGCCCTGAGGAAGGCCGGGAAACCGTGAGTTGCTCTGCTGGTTCCCAGCAAGCTCGGTTTTCCAACTCACGAGTTACTACGCATCATTTGCCTCGTCACATTGGTCGAGTATGTAGTTAACCTAATCTATAAATATTAACTATTCGTTGGAATTCCCCGTTCATCGCGAATCATCAATCAATGCACCGCCGTTTCTTGAGTAATCATCTGGAGATCGCTGGAACGGTCGAAGATGAGCTACGACACGTGAAAAGCATAGTGACAGTCATCAGTAGGGGGAAGGGACTAACGGCGTGCAACCTTACTGTAGTGAACAGCTGGCATTCGCTGGTACTACGTATGAATACTAAGCTATTCTGACTAGATGCACACTCTGCATCTAACTACCTAAACACGTGATTCTCTCTGAATCCACTGTTAAGCACCATAAATAACCAAAACACATTGGAGTTCACATTATCTGTCCCCAAAGGGAAGTCCAGAATAATAGAACTGTCTCTGACCCTCGCTGAGGCTCAGTGCCAGAGTCAGAGCATCAGCCTCACACCCAGCCCCAAGCCGGTGAGCACCCTGATCCTATTATGCATCTTTTCTACTTAAAAGTGTCCTAATTCCTGAGACATTCTATAGTGTTTATTCCTTTTCATGATACTAGGCCTCTCGAGGCCACACAAGGGATCCATTGTAGTGCCTATACGCTACACTTACTGATACGGTCCGCACAGTCAAACGCGCGCAAAAATGAGACTCGAACTTGGTGTAAGAGTTCTGGGGTGGTAGGGTCTTGCTGATGACCAAAAATTTATCCCTCACGGCGAACGGGATGCAGTCTTCTTGTGCGTCCGCATAAGACATTTAGTTCCGTTTAGCTTTGACGACGACAAGGCCTCAGGAAGCCGACCGGTTCGCCTTCCTGTTCAAGGCCTGGCCCAACTGCGTATCGCGAAGCGTCTGTGCATAATAGGTACAGCTTTGTGTGGTCAGGCGCCTGCAAGACTGTGAAGTCGAGGAGGCGCTATTTGAGGGCCTTGACTGTCTCTGTGTATTCTTCATTCCAGAGAGGAGGAACCGTGGGACGGGTGGGGAAAGCTTGTCTTCGAGTATTCATCAATGGAAGGCTCCCTGCGGCCACCGTTTCAGAACGTATGACTGGCCTCACAGGTCAATGTGGCTTTTGTTTTCGTCAGTCCATCACTGTACCCTACATTGGAAAAGAAAATTCGTGAAGGGGATAAATTCATGAGGCGCGCATGCTGCATAAAATGCGTCTGTGAGCTGTGCTTCGCCGCACATCAAGGTGAGGTCATTCACAGATCTCCCAATAATGATAGGCCGACCGTCGGCAAGGGTGAACTTGAAAAGAGCCACAAGACGCACCTCAAGTAATTGAAAACTCTGCGAGCAGTCCAAGTTGATAAAGCAGCATGCGGTGCCTGATTCGAGCAAGGCTGAAAGTGATTGCGCTAAAATCTGGGCAGATACGGAACACGAGGCTCCGATAGAACCCAGAGCACCCAATTCAACTGGAGAGGGAGAGAGAGCAAACGAACTGAGCCACCATTTCGGGAAAAGCGTGTCCGTGACGCGCTGTATGGAGCGAGTCCTCTGTGAAGCCGGTAATGGAAGACGCTTTCCCGCTACTGCTGGTAACTCGTTCAAAGCGTTGGCGTTGTTTCCTGCAGCTCAAGCGCCTTGAGGGCATCCCGCTTCCGATCCACTTGCTCCTGTGGAGGTAAGGTGACCCCAACACCCGCGTCCAGAACCTCGAGGCTTGGAGGTGATAGTGGACAAAGGGGATTTTGCCGAGAGGTGGAGACTGGTATGGAGTAGGGGCCCTTGGCAGATGTAGTCATCAACCCACACTGTTAGTGTAAACACCTAGAACGCTTGACTCGGTCAGCGTTTAGGCGTTGACGTTTGGGTTTTCATTGGCACTCGCCCACGAAGAAGAGTGTGAGAAACTCCCCTTCAGAAACGCCAGTCTAAGGGGAGTTCGGGGCCTTAGGGATCATGTGGCCCTC